TATCTCTACTATGTGGGGTCTTCTCACACAGATCCTTCTAAAGCCCTGTTCTTGCTGCATGTTAAAGCAGCACATTCCTCAGCATAAATTATTACTTAGCAAAACGTTTAAGTAGACTTGAGTCGGGGGTAGGATGATTACAATTCTATCTGGACTCAAAAGGCATACTTTTCTTATGTTAACTATGTTCTTGCCTCCGTGGTAAAGTTGTACTTATAACAGGATTTTTTAAGTCCTTTTACAAATCTTCCTCTTTCAGTAATCTTCACCATATCTTATATAGTGTACAGATCAGATGTAGCCTCTACAGCTTGTACAGTTACTTTCACCAGAGAGAGCATGCACATGCAGTGAACAGACCTCCAGCTACATTACCTACCATACAGAAATACAAAAGCATCACTGCAAGAAATAAAAAACATGACAAATAAAAAGTAGGTTTAAAAAAAAAAAAAGTCAAAAGACATACTGGAAGAAATTCAGATTCCTTAAGAGCTGATAGATACTCTAACACCGATATTCTTAATAGAAGAAGGCATGTTAATCTTAATTTATATAACAGGACACCTAAGCAGACTCTCCAGGGAAGTTGCCAGGACACCTGCAGATACATAGCACATTTTGAAGAGCAATGCAAGGCTATAAATATGCATGGCATGACCTCATTCATATTGTTCTTTCACAGGACTCGGATCTTTAGTTCAACAAGAAAAGGAAGAAGGTAACAAAAGGAGGAAGGACTGTCTTTTGGTTAAGAACTGGGAGACAGGAAACCTGAATTCTATTTTTTGCTCTACCACAGAAGTGCCTTACGGCAAACGTTTCCAGCTTTGGGGTATCAAATCAAGAAAGTGATTTTGAGAGATGAAATGCTACAACGGATTTAACCACAAGTACCTAAATTTGAAAGGCTTGTCTACTTTCTCTCCCTCACCTCCTTCATCTGAAGCAGTGATAAAAGTTCTCATATATACCTCAGTGATGATGTAAACTTCCACCAGAAAACAACATAATAGTATTAAAACCAGAAAAAAATAAAATATAGACACCTGTTAGGTTTATCTTCCTGGTCCTCATACTCAAAATATTTACCTTTGATAAACAAACAAGAAAGAAGCTTTAAATAAATCAGCACTGCCTTTTGTTTGTATGAGTTGAAATCATAACCTCGAATATCATCTTTCATTTTTGAAGCTGTAAGGATACTTAGACAATGTATTAAACAGTCCAGCAGTTTCACATTTCTGAAGATCAAGTTGACAAATTCTCTCTTCCCCCACCCCCACTTCATTTTCAAGAGTACCTCCAAGATAGATAGCCCAAACTTCAACATCTTTCAGCAAGATGAACGTTTTTTCCAGTTTGTTCGACTGGTTTTGTTTGGGGTTTTTTTTGGTGGTGGTAGTGGTTTTTACCTAATTTCCATAGAACACCTTCTTTTATTCCTTTTTCTAAAATATGTCTAACTATACTGTATTTCTCACAATTGCAACGCTGAACTGACCATATAATCCAACAAACAAAAACAGTATCTTATTTCACTTTTTGTTATGAGTACCTCCTCTAGCTGAATGACTTAAGATTCAGCACTCCAAATGTAAATCTTATTTTACTATCCAATATGGAAAGCACAAGAAACCATGACTACAATGAAAAAAACCTGGGTAAATTATAATTTGAATTTGAAGAAAACAAAAAGGCCAATGAATTTTCATTACACAGGAGGGGAGGGGAATAACAGAAGAGAAAGGCAGCTTCTTTTACATTGGCTTTCCCATCTGGAAAAAATCACCAGAAAAATGGAAAATCAATACCAATAGAAAGATGTGAGAAAAGGGTCACGACATTTTTCAAAAGCTATACCAAAATAACTACTGCAGAATGGGGATATATGCATCTCTAAGGAATATATACACATTTCACATGCTATAGTGAACTGGCCATCCACGATGGCAACAGATTATTTTATGGTCCTGTGAAGTGCTTTATGTAGGACTACTGACAGTTTTTGGAGAGTAACTAGATCAGTCCTTTGTAAAAGTGATCTACTTCCAACTGTTTTCTCTCCTCTGAAACAAAACTATCACTAATCATAAGTTCCTAACTCATTGAAACGGAAAAAGTTTCTGTAACAATAATTTGTTTTTTTCCTCAGGATACTGTATAGTTTTAAATACTGTATCCATAGCAGTCTAGATGTCAATTAGAGAAAGTAGGTCTGACAGCATGTTAGAAAGCCATTAGCATAGTGACTCAATACTCTAGAGACTTTCCAATACAAGCTGTGATTTCCCACAAAATCTGAAGGAGAGAGAAGAGTGTAAACAACAATTCATGTAGCGCATAGACTTGGCTTAAGGACCCAGTTCCAAATTCCTTATACAGCTAGAGTAACTGTTGACTTTAACCAGCTGCTGTGGAAACACTTGGGATCAGTTTGTATGTGTATGATACACTTTTCCTATGGAGACAGATATTCTTGCTTGGGGATGCGACTACTTTTACTTCTGAAAGATTCTGACCTAATCATGAAGCAAGGCATGGTTGTGGTGCTACGCAGGACTAAACTCAGCTGGATTTGTGTTACCTTTGCTCTGTGACAGGACGCAACAGTGCATGCCTATAAGTTAATTCAAGTCCCTCTCACAAAAAGAGGGAGCATGAATTGGAATCCGGAGACAGGCATGCATCCTATGCTTGGCTACAGGAACAATAAAGAATAATTAATCCTTGAATCTTGTTAGTTATTTTGAAATCTGACTTAATCCTTTTAAATTTCCTATACAATAATATCACTCATTTCTCTAACCCAGAGAAACAACTTAATCTCACATAAATTCCATTTCCTTGAAAAAGCTATTACGTTGATTGTTTTTTAAAAAATAAATTTAAAAATTGAGAAAAGCATTTTATATAGTTCCTGGGCTTTATTGATCTAGCACATACTGTGTTCTTCCTGCAAAATTCTCAGGGTAAAAACCACATTTCCTCATTTTCAGTTCCAGACTTCCCTGTACCTTCATTTGTCTGACCACTGACAACTTCAGTCTTTTTACATAGGCTTTCTCTGAAATAACCCCCATCAAAAGGAAAAAGGATTCTCTTTCAGAGTAAACATGGAAAATAAGCACTTTATATATTCTCGGCAGTGAGGGAGAGTATTTATTTATTTTTGACTTTCACTATACAGAATTACCCTGCTGAGCCAGGCAGTTTGCCAGAACATAGTCTTTGCTGTATGGGATTCTCCAGATCACTTCTTTTGCTAAAATACATCGCCACACAGATCCGATGTAAGGTGGCATGGTTTTGTTCCCATAGCATGGCAGAATCCTGCTTCCCTGAACACAGCAGAAATTACCTGCAGCAGGTTTTTTTTCCAGAAATCTCTAGTATACAAAATTCAGTGCTTTTCAGTTCCACGCTACTGTTACCTTTGAGTGCTGCATTCATTACTTCTACTCCATGTTTCTAGTTGCTAGCATAGAGAGTCTGCAGCTGATTTCCCCACTTACATATTTGCAAACAAAACTTGCCACCATCAACCTGGATCAGCCCTTGCCATGCACGGGACCTACTGCCTTTTGCTGTGCTAGCAGCCAGCTTTCTGCTATAGCAAGAGGCTTCACTGGCTCATTTTATAACTTAAGTTCCTGGCATAGCAGTTGGCTTTAATAACTTCTTTGACTTTTTGATCCAGGATTCAGGTTCTGGAACCCATTAGTTATCACCAAGCAATTAATCTGGACGTCTGGCTGCTTATCCGACCACTGGGTTAGCTTGAGCATTTCCATAGCAAAGTCATTAGTCTGTCTTCACTATTGTGTGCGCTTGAAGGGGCATTTCATGGCTCCACCCCCCAGAAGAAAATAAAATTTATAAGTGAGACAGGATATCTCATTGCTGTTTATACTAGTCCACTCCTTGCTTGGTTATTCAGGGCTTCTAGGACTCACTGATTTCCAAAGACAGTTTTAGCTAGAATCTAATGAACAGTGCCAGTTGCCTTGGCATCTGGAATCCCCAAACTATGTTCCTCCACATAGTATTTCTTCCACAAGACAATATAGTCATATGGTCTTACATGACTCTGAGATTCATGGCATTATCGAAGTATCTGCTGGAAAACTTAGGTAGGGAAAGGTATAGAAATATCAAGATTCCTGATGAAGAAAAGCATCACGTTTTGGGATTACACATCAGCAGTCAGTTAATTATGATAAAGAATTACAAACTGACCTGAAGAAAGAAGACTAGGAGAAAGACTGAAATTTCAATCCTTTTTATTTCTGATTTTATTCCAGAATTCATCAGCCCCCACCCCCTCCCCTCCCCCCCCCAAAAAAATCATTTGTGCCACATATCAAGACTGCAATGCAGTAAGAATGCAGAAAGTTAGTATAGTTATTATTCATTTTTTTTCTTTTCGTAGAACATCCATTATGCTAGAAGTGAAACTATACTGTGCAGATACAGCTACTAGATGCCATCCAACAGCCAGATTTTTGAAATCTATTGATTAGTAGAGTTACCAGTGTCTCCAGTCCCACCAGGGCACCACAGACTGGAGAGACTATACTATAACCTTCCTATCATTACCATAGCTACACCTGAAGAAAATCAACCAGGTTAAAGAAATTGATATTTATAGTTTTCAACAGTCTTCACAGAGTGCAGGGAGTTCCAGTGATTTCCATTATGACAAAGAACTGATCCAGTATATACAGTCACATTTCTACTGCAAATATGTTCATCCCTTCAAAATTATGACTGCATATTCACTGTCATGATTTACCAGGCTGCAAGTATACAAATTTGCAAATGGCTTGAGAAATGCATCCCAGATTTCCACATTTATTCTCAGCATTTTATGTGAGCATTACCTAAAACTAGGTTTAAAATTATGTTTTTAAGCATCTTTAGATTCTCAAAGGAAAGTGCAACTGCAGCCTCAGAGGCATTTAATCACTCAAGTCTGGATGACAAAGTGCACCACTTACCGCTGAACAGGTAACGGAAGAGAATCTAAGTGGTCCTCGCCCTTAAAAGCCATATTTATCCTATTCTTATGTGCTCTTCTCCATAGGCTGGAATCTAGAAAGAAAACAAACAAACATTTAGTAAATCTAGGGAAACTCGGGCATCTTCAGTTCAGGGTGCATGGCATTCTACTGATACGTTGAGCCAGCTCACTAAAAACAATTCAAAAGGCTTCTTTTCCTCAGACTGCTACACAGCCCCAGCAGATAACCATGGCAGAAGCAGCACAGGGTTGGTTTGCATGGTCCTGAACTTCCTGGACTACTGCAGAGGTCAGAGGCATCTGGGTTGAACATTTCTGAATTAATATCAAGTTATTATTTAGCCTCATTTACTTTGAATTAATTTGAAGTCTAGAGGAAATTGATTTAGTATGACTGTAATCCTTCAGGTTATTGTGAGAAAGATTACAAGAGAAAGCAAGTGTACACCCGTATGATTTCAGGATCATTTAGTACTACAGTTACAGAAAGGCCTCTGATGTCTAAGTTACTGAAGTATTGGATCCTTCCATGATAAACAATTTCATTTTTCTATCAGTTTAAAATGTTGTACACACCTTTTTCCTCCGTGTTTTTGCTTTCTACCTGGTGACCAAGAGATGCATCCAAACACTATTGTACTAGAAAGAGGCAAGAGACAAGGAGACACAGAGCCGCCTCATTTCACAAAAAGGAGGGGTGCTGTCTCCCTCCCTCTTCTTTTAATCAGCCCCATCTTACATTAGGGTATTACCTACTATAGATCAATATATATTCTCAAAAAAAGTCAGAGAGGATCTGTTCTACCAAAAAGGTGAAGTCATTCCCATTTACCATATAGCTAGAGGAAGACTAATTCAAAATATTTGAAGGGAAAGATTAATCCATGACTCAAGAAGAACAAGGAGGAGATGAATGAACTTGGAGGAGGAGACAGGAACAGTGGGGAAATGATGGTTTCTTAGATGTGAAGCAAAACCTGGTATCGATGGATCTCACTCTTGGAAGAAATATTTTACACAGGAAATTAATGCTCTTTGTGTCACCAACTGGGGCAGAATGTTTTTGATGTGCAAAATTCTGCCATTTGGTTACTGGCTACATTCTGCAAGCTGAGTCAGCCACCATTTAAGGTATTTGACACTCCAAATTGCTCTTAATTGACACAGAGTGGTCCTCAGCATCTTTCCAAGCAAACTGAGCTCATTGCTAATGCATGTCCTTGGGTTTTTTTCCACCAAGATCTCACAAACATTGTCCTGAGCACATAAAAGTATTACAACCGAAGTAATGCATTCGCATGCTCTGTCCACTATTAGCACCAGATTGATTTGGTAATGGTGTTGTCTTGTGTTCCTCCCTACCCCTCGAATTTTCCTGGAAATAACTTGCAATCTTCTTAGTCCATGTGTCTAATGAAAGAGTATGCTGAAATACGGGAGAAAAATCTGTTTACAAAATAAAAAAAAAAAAAACAAAAAAAAAAACACAACAAACCAGGCAGTTACCAAATTCTCTGATTTAAAAAGATTGCAGATGTTTGATAGACTCTGCCTGAAAATTCATATGCCTAAGTATGAAAATATTAGTATGTATTCTTATGCTCCCATGCCAGAAAGATTTAAAAATCAAGCTTACTGTTGGGGTTTTTAAAAGCATTTAGCATATGATGCACAGTATCAAATGGAATAAATCAGCTATCTTCATTTGTTTCTACTAGTAGAAGATTTATGTCTCTAAAATTTAAAATTACGAAATACAATTAATCACATAATCAAGATTTACTGAAAATAGCCAGTTATCATGATTATCACCATCTTCATTTGGAGAGAATACCCTTAATCAAAGATGAACACATCTGCATAAAATCTTAATTTCAGAGATGAATCTTATCATGTAAAGGACTGAGAAAATAGTCTTTCAGCCTGCAGAAGTACAGACTTCATGGACACCAGCTATCTCCTGCTCAGCATGAGGCACAGGATTTACATTCTTACGTTACTGACACAAAAATCAACAGCTTCCTTCTGGCAAGCTAAAGCTACTTCACCATTAGCTCAGCCCACTAACAATTTCTACACATACAAATCAAACCATCTGCTTGTACTCCATTACTTGTGCTCAGTGACATAATGTACACAGACATAAATTAGATTATTGCATGTCATTGTTCGATATAAATTAGGAACCTGACAAAAATGCAGCTTTTTATATGCTGTCTTCCCACAAAACACACATCTATATTATGGCTGAGAGCCTTTAAAAACATGATCAACTCCTACTTAGAGGTCACTTATGCTCCAGGAACAATAACAAAATGCCACACCAATATCTTAACCAAACTGTCTGTCTCAAGACTGTGATTAGACATTAGCTTTATTTTTTTTAAGCCCAAGTTAATATTGACAATATAAGGAAATGCTCTCCCCAAGCACCTGCCAGACTTCCAAAGGACAAGCTGTACGCCCAGGACCGTAAAGTACCACACTAGCCCGCAAAAACCCATGACCACAAGAGAGGCTGGAGAGAGGTTGGAGACGCAGTGACTGACAGGGTACAGGCTTCTGGTCCTGCTCAGAATGGCTCCTCCACAGGCCTGGCAATTACGGTGCTCAATGGCAGATGTTGTTCAGTTTTTCGGTGTTCTCACTCACAGTTCCATGTAAGACTGAGATAACTGTACTTCCTAGTAATGGCCATGACAAGACTGATGAATCCTTCTTTTCAGTTGATGCTGCTTTTTATGAAAGGCCACAACAGTGTTGAGCTCTAGTCAGCATTCCCAAAAGGAAGGTCTTGTACTACAGCTGACTGTGCAGAGATGATGCTTGGATGCCCTCAAGTCAAAGCAAGAAACTTTCAGAGTATCAAACGTTTCATCTTCTACAAAAAATCCCACTTAGTGTCAAAGGGTTCTTTGCTCTGGTCCATACAGGACAAGAGACATGGAAGAACAGAAACACACATGCTAGCAACCTGTTACAAACACCTCTACAAGGTTTTTCTTCGGGGAACTGAAACATGGGTAGGGCAATGTGCGCAACCTCTGCTGCAACTGCTGTCTGAGCCTCTGTGCAGAGGCACCAAGAAGCTCAACAGCTTTCACACGATGGTCATACGCAACTAAAACATGTGGCATGCACCTGAGCACGCACACTCAAGGCTACACAAACTGTAAGCATATGTCTACATGCTTCTCAATCCTTTCCGCTAGCTACTTCCTCGCAGCTGGTGGAGACAGTGTGGCAGCAAGCAAAGCTACAGATCTGAAATGGTGCCTGAAGTCAGAGATCTTTCTCCTAACGACCATTTAAAAGATGCCCCTCCAACATAAAGTTTCATTCAAGCATATATATAATGTTTTGTATATATATTATGAATGCATATATGTACACTCACACTCACATTTATTAAGTATATACATACCAATAGGCAACATTAGCAAAGGCTAATGTTTTTTCCCACTGGCTTCAGTGGCCACTGTCAGGCCCACAGCTGGTCAGAGAGGCTGTCTAGGTAAACTTGTACCAAAAAATAACATGATACTACTCATTTTGGTACAAGCTTGAGTGACACTTATGACAATTTTGTTATTTCTGCATTCCTGGACTTTTATAAGGCAAATTTTTTAATACCTTACATAGGATTTTACATAAATAAATGTCTGCATATAAAGTTGCATTACAATTATAAATAAAGACTTACAATCAGTTTAGTTCTTCCAGTAGATAACAGTGTGTGCACGTGGAATTACATGTATTCGAGGTAGGAGTCTCTCCATGTGTCCTTCATCTTTTTGTCATGTCAACACTGAATTAGATTTTAAGATATTATTTCCTTATGTTTACTAGATAGATGTAGATAACCAGACCACAAACCTCATGTCATTCCCATTGATGACAGTCAGCCAAAAGCTTCTTTCAGAGAACTACTACACAAGAAGAAAACAAAACCAAAAACACAAAGCATCACACCTGAAACAGCACATAAGAATTGCTCACAGAAAGCGCAGTGTCAGTGGAGGATATGACCTTCATGGACACTGGGGGGAAAAAAAAAAATAAAAACCACACCAACCAGGAAGAGGGAACTTGCTGGAACTTGCTTATATACAAACACCAGGCCCTGATGATGGCAACTGGCAGAGATAACTAAAGAGAGCTTTAAAAGTCGTCAAACTAACCCGCCTATAAGTTAAAGAAGGAGGAGCCTCATTGCACCAGGCTTGGCAGCATCTGTGAAACTTGTGCAATATCTCCTTAGCACAGCTGTGCAGCTGGGAGCTGCTAAACCACCGGTTGCACAGCAGCAGACTCCTCCTGCCTTGCGGGAACTCCCTGCTGAGAGCCTCTTCTTCCTCAAGCCTGTTAAGCATTGGAGAGCAGCTTCTACAGCGTAACATGGCCTTTTAGCATCCTACAAAAGATGTTATTTCTGCTAGGAAAACAAATTGCAGCTTGCGAAATCTCCCAATTTAAATTTCTTCTGCACCGTTCAAAATGTTAGCTTATGTTTAACAAGCTAGAAAATGGGAGGATTTTAGCAGTCAGGATTCAGTTAGAAAAACATCTATGTCCAAAAGTATCACAGTAATAGCATATACTCAAGGTGAAATAAGTGTGACTCCTGCACTCCTACTACTGATGGCCCTAAAGAGGTTCTCCACCACAAAATGCTGTTCTGAATAATTAAGCCCTGACACACACACAATTAAATTCACATTTTTGAGCTCATTCACTGCACACATGTTCACCCTTGTAAAGGCTTAAATCAAAAGGCAAATCCATGAACTTCTGCCACCCCATTTCTAACCCCTAACATCATAATTTCAACACTAAGAACATTTTAAAATAAGGTCAATCAAGAGCATAATTTTTCTTTCTGAAAGACAGAAATCCACACATCTAGCCTTTGATTATTAATAACCATCAAAATTAGAAGAGCATGTAACATATAAGTAATATGATTAACCTGAGAATAAGAAGTCGTTAGCTAAAAGTAATTCCAGACTAGATATCACTTGATTAATATGAACAGATCCTGTCTGTAGTAAAGTACAACTCTGTTCTGACA